TTTTCATTGTTCGGGTAGAGTGTGAGAGTTGTTGATACCTTTACAAATTTTAATTTTATTATTAGATTTTATTTATTTATATATTTTTTTTATTTAGAAGGATCTTATTTTGGTATGGTACCATTGGTTGGTGTGTAGGTAAAGTTGAGAGACATAAAAATTGGTATGTTATCCCATTAACTAAAGTTTAGGTAAAGTTGTGCATCATCACGTGCTTACATCCATATGAGTGTAGATACATGGATTGATACCTCTATAGGTCTTAGCATGCATACTTTTAATTATGTCATTCATATTGTCAACCACAAGATGCACTAGAACTTTATTGACTCAAACCTCTTCTAAATGTAAAATATTTTGAGTATCAACTTCTTTCCTTAAATGCTTGTGTTTCCTCCTTTGAGGGTTGACACCTTGGTCTTCTTTAAGAACTCCTGACATCTCATTTGTACATATTTGCACAACTAATAATTAATGAACATATTTTATTTAGAAATAATGCATGTAATATTTTTGTTATATATGAATATACTAGATTGTCTTTGTTTCACATTAAATACACATATTATTGCAACTAATAATTAGTGAATATGTTTTATATTGAATTAAGACTTTGAGGAGGGAGGGGAAAAAAGTTGTTGTGTTATGATATATAGATATTTACAAGGTTATTAAATTTAAGAATTTAAGTAAATACTTGGAGTGCGTGTAAACTCAACTTATAAACTATAAGAGTTTACCTATGCCTAAAAAAATTAAGAAAATAAAAAATTACATTCAAATAGTCAAATCATACAATGCCAAAGTTATAACACAAGTTAAAATCGTATATATATGACCAAATGTGTAAATATTAAGGTAAATAACTAAAAATTTCAAATAAAAAGGGCAAATAAACCATAATCTTTAAATCTCTAGCCTTTCAACATTTCCATCATCACCAGTCTCATCACCACTTTCATCATAATCATAATTTTGTTCTTCCTATGATGAAAGAGGTGCCTTAATATTAGGATAAGGGACCAAGTCTTTCATCCTATCTAAAGTTAGATTGCTTGAATTTGTAACATCATCAATGTTGCTACCTTCATCTCCTAACGACTGTTATTCAAGTTTAGCAATGTCTTTTTATTGTACCTCATTAGTTATCCATTTATCATCAGATTGAATATCATTAATGAGAATGATAAGATTTTATTTTATTTGTTTAGTTCTTAACTTATTGTTATACATCATGTAAACCAAATTATTTATCTTTTTTTTATGCAATTAATTTCTTCTCTTTGTATGAACTTAGAGATAAATAGCATAATATTCAAAATTAGCTTATTAGTTAATATTCTAAACAAAGAAAAGTTAAAAATTATACAAAAAAAAAAAATCTAAACTTCATTTACCATTTAAAATAAACTCCAATTCATTCATATCTAGAAGAGTTGCGAGTCTAACTAAGAGCATAGAAGTTCCACCATATTCAAGGAAGCATAATCTTCTTATCTGACTTTACATCATCAAAACCAAAAAGATCTTAAGCTTAATGAAATTGAGGAAGCTGATTATGAATATTGTTCCTTACAATTGAGTCATTTAACATCCTTGACAAACAATTATATAGGCCTTATTTAACCTCAAAATCACCATATCTAAACTCATAATCATAGTAAAAATTGACATTAAGGTAATATGTAGCTGCATGTAGAGGCTTATGGAGCTAGTTATCCCACATTTCATAAATAATTTTCCATATAGGTTTATAACTACAAATAAATGCAAGACAATTAATTATATTCTTTTATTCAGTACATTTGACAAAGATCAATAAATCTTAAATAAAGAAAAATTAAGATTATTTTCCTTTTCTTAACATCTTTAAAGTTACTTTTTTTTTTATCTTTTCTTTCATCATTTGATTTAATGTTGCTTGAACTCCACCATTTTTCCTTTTGTAGTAAACTGCAAAATACCATTTCCCTTTTTTTAGAACTTTTCATCTCTATCCCTTAATTGTCTTGACATTGAATCTCATCATCTTCTATCTTACTGTCTAACAATTTTCTTTTTTCACTTGATCTTTCTTTAGTTTCAACAACAATTTTTATCATCGAGATTTTAACCTCTTGAGGTACTGAGGCACAAGGTTATGTATCTTTTTTATTTCCAGCAATATGATGCTTAAATCCAAAAATTCTTTCATTATTAGTTTTTAAATAATAATTACATTTAACTCTTCTAGTATTACCATCAACATCTATCTCATGTTTCTATAGAATATTTGATTTATTTTTTTTCTAGCGACATTCTTCTACTTTAAAATGCAAGTTGCCCGAACATTTTGATTCATTCATTTGGTGCTAGATATTTTTTTTAATAATAATGAATTTTAAATAATTATTAATTAAATGATATTATTTTATTATAGATGATGGTGAACTCGTTCATTTATAGTTGTGAGGAAAGATCTAACATTTTACATGTATTTGAAACAATAAGGAAAGATGATGTTTATATTTATTTATTTGATTGATTAGATTATTTATTTAGTTGTACAACCTGGATGTTATTTCTTCCTTACCTCCAATGAGCTTAAATGAAAGGGACACCTATAGAGCAATAATGTCACTTTTTTTCTTTCAAATTATTGAATGACATCAACTTAATCATGTTATGCACCAATTTGGCATGAGTCATTGTATTCTTAGTAAGCTAAGATAAGATGAAAGTATACATTATGTAACACTTAGGGAAAAGACTAATGAAGATTGATGTATAATTTATCAACTCTACATTAACATGTGAAATTGTAGAGCAGAGTTTGTAGTTACGAACCATTCAGAAATAGAGTTACTAAATGTAAATTTTGAATATATAATGTAGTGTATAAAAGCACATAACGTTGTATTACTGGACAATATGTTGTTAAAAGATGTGTGATAAGTTATTTTTAAATGACATTTTTTAAACTTTGAATTTTGAACAATACAATTATGTTTCATTGTTGATAAACATTTATTTTAATTTGTAGCTGGGCAAAGTTAAGAGAATACTTTTTTTAGCTTATGAAGAGAGATTGTCATCATTTGGGTCAAACATGAATTTATTTGATTTGATTATTCATAAATCATAAGAGATGCTGGTGATGACAACTATATTGTTGAGACGCAACTCCTAACTTTAGAACTTGACCCTATACAAAACATTCTTTATGAAGTAGTAGAGCTAGAAATATCAACCAATTGAGTTGAGCGAAAATGTTTGTAGTACGGTCAAAAATGTCAAATTAGGAAAAAGTTTAATTTTTCAACAATTTCACTGTGACAACATAACATGTATTACACCCCTTCCCAAGGGTCACCAAAGTTGTCATGTTGATGTACCTGCATCACTCCTAGATGCTAGTGAGGGGTGTTTCTAATACGTTGAACACTTTGGGATAATCTTCATCATATGAATTTTTTTTCACAGGATAATTTTGTTAGTTTGTCTTACACTCAAATTCCACAGATGTCACCCTTGATACACGATCATGGTTATGTACCATCACCTGAAATTTATGTCACACCTAGCTCATATCATGATTCTGTGAACACATCTCTAACTCTTATTCTATGGATGTAAAATGTGGATGATACTTTTATGAGCAAAAAAATGTATTTAAAATCCAATTATGACATTCTCATATTAAACTACATAATTAATATAAAAAATCTAATACAATAATAATCACGCATGTAAAAATAGATTGTAAAAATATACCATAATACAGACTTATCAATTACATACTTGTAAAACTAATTAATTAAATTTTATAAATTATTTACTTGCTAAATTAATTACATTGCTTTAAGTAATCATTCCAAAACTACCAATCAAATTAATATCAACATATGATTCAAGCCTTTCCATTGACGATTGTTATTCAAAAACATTTATCATACACTACACTAAACATCTTTATCATCACATATTTAACAATTATTATTATTTTTTCTTCAAACATATGAAGCTATTGGTCACACTTGAAATAATTTTATATTTTTTCTAGTTTCAGTTTTTTTTTAAAAATTCTACTTAAGTTTATAATAACTAATATTATGTTTTATTTGTAGCATTTTTTTTAATTTTTTTCAAACATTAAAGTTTCTATCCCTTCATAATTTTTTCATTTGAATACATAAATACAATACTTTAACTCATTTAAATACTATTTAATTAACATACATTAACGATTAAGTTATTCAAATATATTAATTTAACTAACTAAATATAATTCAAAAATTACATACAATAAAGTTTCATCGTGTTAACAAAGAATAATAATAAAAATAATAACAATTAAAATAAATTTTAAATTAAAATAAGTTACTAAAATATCTCATAATTATAAACTTAGTATAAACGAAGAGCCTTGTATATGTAACTTCTATATCAATTACGTATAATAAAAATGCGTAAGTGACCAAACGAAAACATGTAAAAAAATTTCTTTAAGTGACTGTTGTAAAAAAGGAGCAATTAATTTTGATGAAACATGTGTCCACATCAAAATGAGTGATAACTATTCACTAGGAATAACAAGTCTAGTCACATGTTAATTTTTAACATAAATTTTACATTTATGTCATTTTGAATATTGTTATAATAAAGGCCCTCAAATGAATGAGTAATAAAAGTAATAATAATGATCACGAATATGATGAGGAAAAAAAAAAAAGGAGAAAAAATTTAGGTCACGCGAAAGAGAGCGTGAATTTCTTGCAATGAGTCGTTGAGGTGGTTCGCAGTTGACGGAATGGAGTTTGTTGGTGAAATCGAGCGAGGAAGAAGAAATAGAGAGAAATTGTATAAGAAAAAATTAAAAAAAAATTAAAAGGAGGGGTTAAAAGTTAAAAACAGAACAGGTTTAAAAGGTAATCTCGATAACTAGTAGAGTTAAGGCCCAAATGGCCCAAAATATGATCACACCGCCACACATGCCCAGTTGCGGGGATTGTTGGGTTGCAAGTTATTAACCAATGCTATCGACCAAATAAAAAAATAAAAAATAACAGATATTCCTTCTTCTTCTTCTTCTTCTTCATTTGTCTTGAGATTCTTATCCCTCACACTGAAACTCACTGTTGTTATACCAATTTCTCGATTTCGCAAAAGCCTTCAACGATGGCCGCTGAAACGATGCCCTACCAGAACGGCGTCGTTGCTAACTCCAGCTCCTCCGACGCCGCCGCTAAGAAGTCGCGGGAGAGCGAGCGACGTCGTCGCCGTAGGAAGCAGAAAAAGAACAACAAAGCATCTGAGGAACCGATTCCCAACGCTGCCGAAGATAGTGACGATGCGAAGGAAAGCGCTGATTCAAAGCAGGTTCTCGTCCTTCTAACTTAATTATTTTGATGCTTTCTTAGACTTCGGTGCGTTGGTTATTTTTCTTATGCTGTTGGAGATTTGTAACCGATAATGGCTTTATGCCCAGAAAGGATAGATGATGCTAAGGAAATTTATTCTGAATGTCTTTATTTGCCTCTTGTTCCAACAGTTTTGCAGTGAAATTAGGGTTTTAGAACTTGAACAAAGCTCGTCGTTTACCGTGTTACAGCTTTTGGTTGTGGACGAGCTAGTGAGAGAAGTTATAGGGCTTTGCTTGGTGAAAGGGAATTGGAGGGAAGAGAAAGGATTTGATCTGGGTGCATGGAATGGATCCTTTCCCTTTCTCTTCTCTCAATTTCCCTCGTACCAAAGACTGCACTAGTTATTCTTCCTTAGAAAAATGCGCTTTGTATCGATTGAAGTTCTTAAACTAGACTTATTATGTAATTATTCCTTTGAGTGTAGTTGTTAAGTGTTTTGAAAGGTATATAGGTGATTAGATCATGTCTTGTAGCAGATCATTGTTTCCTTTGATAATAGGGTGGGATTTTCTTCTGTAATTTCAAATATATTGTCATCATCGCACAAATTTGATGACATTATTTTTCTTGAGTTGCAGGTTGTTGAACAAGTTGAAATTGAGTATGTACCAGAGAAGGCAGAGCTAGATGAAGGCATGGATGAAGAATTTAGAAAAATCTTTGAGAAATTCAGTTTCAGTGATGTCACTGGTTCAGATGTAATGTGTACATCTAAATTTTTGTTTCTCATTGCATCTTCTTTGGCTATTTTCTGACAAAAGGTTTGCTATTATTACTAGGACACTGATAAGAAGGATGAGGCAACAGAAAATGCAGCTACTAATAAAAAGGCTGACTCTGATTCTGAGGAGGAAGAAAATGATGATGAACAAAAAGAAAAGGGCATCTCAAACAAAAAGAAAAAGGTGTAGCAATTCATGACATGTTTATTATATTTTTTTGCTGTTTATTCAATTTTTACATTGTTTTTCTTTTAATAACCATTCTAAACAAGTTAACTTTTCTTTTCAGCTTCAACGGAGGATGAAAATTGCTGAACTGAAGCAAATTTGCTCGAGGCCTGATGTTGTTGAGGTAGGAATGTTTTGTGTAGCATACTCAGTTTTAAATTGCTGGGAATCTCATTCCCACTATTAGTGTGGTCTCATGGCTGTTATGCATATGTTATGTAACAGTTTCTTTTTCATTTTTAAGGTGTGGGATGCTACTGCAGCAGACCCGAAGTTGCTGGTATTTTTGAAATCTTATCGGAATACTGTACCTGTTCCTAGGCATTGGTGTCAGAAGAGAAAATTTTTACAGGTTAGTCTGCAATCTAAATTGATAACTAAGGGTTATAGATGTAAGCATGTCTGATGGTTGTGGCCTGCATGAGGGATGTAGTGATAGGGTGAGGAAGATAACGTCGATAAGGTTTCTCTTATATGTATGTATGTGATGCTTGCAGGGGAGCGGCTGTGGCAATCACCAAACCTGGACTTGTAGGTGTTTGGCAATGGGCAACCTTGAGTCATTTCTCTTTTATTGTCTTTGTTAGATTGAATGGGAATACATAACTCATATTTTGTTGTATAATGGGGATCTATAATCATGTGGCATCTTTGCATAATGTTAATGGGCATTTATTTATGACAAAGTTGCTAATAGTTCTGCTTTGAATTTTCAGATGCCTTTCCATTGTGCTTAATGATCGGGCTGAATTCCTCTTATCTTCAATTTTTTATGATTGATGTTATTTAGCCCAAGTACATAGTGTTTGTCCACATAAATTACTTATATCTCATCAGAAGTTGTGTTATTGTTTTTGGTAGGGTAAACGAGGTATTGAGAAACAACCCTTTCAGCTTCCTGATTTCATTGCTGCCACTGGAATTGAGAAGATCAGACAGGTAATGTGACTTTTGCATATATTTTTCAAAAAATCAATTGTTGCCTATGTTATGACTCTTTTTTGAAGAGGTCTCCTTTAGCAATAAAGTATCAATGATTCACTTACGAGTTTTATATACTATTTATGTTCTGGAAAATGCATTTTTCTGTACAATAGATGATACTACCATGGTAGTCAAAATCGTGTGCTGGAAAATAAAATCGTGCGATTTTACGATCTCCAACTCCCTCTCCGTGCTAGCTTGGTGCCAAGATCATGATTTAGCAAGATCGGGCGGGATCGTCGTGCCAAAAAAATGGTAAGCTTGGACGATCCCCCGTGTTTTCAAACCCAATGACCCGCAACCCAGTTTGCTTGAAACCCTAAAATTGATTTCGTTCTGTGATCCCTAAACCTTTCCTCTAATTTGCGACTTCGTTCTTCTGCTTTGTGATCCGCTATAGCTTTCACACTGGTGACTGTATATGCTCCGCCGACCTTGTCTGTGCCAGTTTCGTGCTGTGATCCTTAAACCTTTCCTTCGATATGCGACTTCGTTCCTCTGCTCTGAATCCCTATAGCTTTCACACCGGTGACTGTATATACCTTGGCAACCTTGTCTGTGCCGGGGACCTTGTCATAGCGGAGCGTTTTGCTGTGGCAACCATCGCATCTGTATTTGCAGCCTTATCGTAGCCTAATTCGCAGCGCAACAGTGCCACTAGAGCAAAAGTTGTTGACTTTCCCTTTCTATCCCCAGAATGAGGAAGATTTTAGGGTTTTTTAAGGGTAAAAAAGGCATCTTATATTTTAAAATAATTTGACTTTCCTTTGTTGCCCTTAAAATGATTCTGGTATAAGTTCTTTTAAGGGTAAAAGAGTCTTTCCATCAGAATACATTAAATAATCTATCTTTTCCTTCTCCTCTTCTGTCTCTGTTTTCAATGGACATGTCCCTGTTTCTGTTTTGAGTTAAGGATGGTTCCTTTCCTTACATTTGTCTTTGTTTAGCTTATTTCATTTTTATATTTATACTATTTTATATGTATTCATACAATTTTGTAGAATCTTACGATCCGTGTTACGATCTTATGAGTTACGATCTTTCACCCCTTCTCCAATTCCACGTAAAATCTCGATTTTGATTACCATGGATACTACTGTTAGAGTTTTTTTCTTGTTAGATTATGAACTTTTGATTGGTTGTAATGAGAAGCTTGCAATTGCAATCCTCTAAAGTATTGGTAGTCAGTCATAAAATCAAGATATTATTGACTCATTTGTAGTATTGATCTATAATATTGGGGATGTTGATGGAATAGCATTTTATCTGTACTACATATACTTTTTCCTTTCACATCAGCTGTTAATATTTCTGTTTCCATAACTGAACGTATTTATGTATAATGGAAGTTTTCTATACTTTATATATTTACGGTTTATACACGCCTTTTAGTTAATTTACTGACATATATGCTGCAATTGCTGTTTTTTAATTGTCTTATGTTGTCTCATGCAGGCTTATATTGAGAAAGAGGATAGTAAAAAGCTGAAACAAAAGCAAAGGGAGCGCATGCAACCAAAAATGGGAAAAATGGATATAGACTATCAGGTTTCATTTTTGCTTGCCATTGTGTTTTGCATTGCTTGCTTGGTTTTCTGTTTACAGTTACTCTATACTTTTGTCTTTTCTAATAGTTCTTTTTTCTTGATTGCTAGGTTCTTCATGATGCCTTCTTTAAATATCAGACAAAGCCAAAACTAACTTCTCTTGGAGACCTGTATCATGAAGGAAAGGAGTTTGAGGTATTGTGGGGAGATTTAAAATAGTTTGATCAAATGATTTGAGTTCAATGAAATAGTGTGTAATTATATTTAGGACAGGGATTTCGAATTGCATGTACCATCTCTGCTCTCTGTTAGATATTAATAATGGAAATTTTATGATTGATGTAAGCTAAATAAAGTTATTACGTGGCATGAATTGTTTTACGTATGTTGTAAATGGATTTTTCTCCTTTTATTTGCAATGTTTTGTTTATCAGGTTGTTTTGATTTTTTATTGGTTTGAATTTGAACTTTCATCAAGTTGCTTGTTTTATAGTTGGGAAGGATTGATTTTGATAGAATTAATTTTGAACCATTGAACATAATTGGGATGTTTGTCCTAATTGTTTGATCCCAGTCATAAATTTTACATTGAAATGTGTGCATGTTGTGGGGAATGGATTCTTTGTTTATTAAAAAACTGGCCCCTATAGGCATTCAATTTGAAGTTCTAGTCCAAGAGCTTAAGTATTTCTATTTGGATGGTGGAGCTAATCCTTTTAATGAGTGGTCTTCATTGATCTGGTTCACTGTCAGGGTTGCTGGCACCTTTACCAGTTTTAATTTGGTTATTAGATTTTATTTATGTATATTGTATATCTTTTGATTGAGAAGGATCTCATTTTTGTATTCTGTCATTGGTTGGTGTGCAGGTGAAGTTGAGGGAGATGAAACCTGGTATGTTATCACATGAACTGAAAGAAGCTCTGGGTATGCCTGAGGGTGCTCCTCCTCCTTGGCTTATTAATATGCAGGTAATAATAGTACAGTGTCTTCTGGTGCATTTTTCATATTATTCTTTTCCTGACCTTTGACCACATTAAATGTGTTTTTTTCAGAGATATGGTCCTCCACCATCATACCCTCATCTGAAGATCCCTGGACTGAATGCTCCTATTCCCCCTGGAGCTAGCTTTGGATATCATCCTGGCGGATGGGGCAAGCCTCCTGTTGATGAAGTATATTTTTTTCATATTCACTTTTTGTTTTATCATTCATCTATTGAATATTTATGGGTTACTGAGTTGTCTTTTTTATCTCACTGATCTGTTTACTTGTCTTCATGTGAACAGTATGGACGTCCACTGTATGGAGATGTTTTTGGTGTTCAACTACAAGAACAGCCTAATTATGAGGTTTGGCTTAATGCCAGAGTTCAATTGCCTTAACATGTTAACATGTCTTAAAGCTTATGGAATTCCTTCTTGTTTCTGTGCATGTGTGTAGTTCTGTTATTTTCACCTTTGTGTTTTATATGGCAAACACTTTAGTGATGAAAATGAGAGAAATGGAAATAAATTAAGATTGTATCAAGTCATCTTGCATGTCCAACCAAAACTCCAAATACATTGCTTATGACCTTTCCTTTTCCCATGATCCCACTATTACTAAATCTTAAGCTGTTTGGTGAAATCACATTAATGGTTTTTCACCTTACATGCTTCATCACGCAAGAGCCCTTGGGGCTTAAAGCGTGGGTAAGGCACAGCCCATCCTACCTTGTGCTGAAATTTAACTTTATTTTTTTAGAATGAGGATTGAACTCTAGATCAAATGGTCATAGAGGCTAAGATAGACATAACAGTCCAAAAAGTTTGAGCTGTTGAATATTAATGGTTTTATATCTAACACCTTCCTTGTGATTGAAAAAAGACATTCAACTAAAAAATGATCACAACATTGAATGCAAAATTTTTTTGGTTAAGAAATAAAAATAATAAAATTTACCTGGGATCCCTGTATCATATCAACTAAAAAATGATTATTAATTTCATTGTGTTATTTCTTTTGTGTATTTTACTTAATGTTCTCATAATGCAGGAAGAGCCAGTTGATAAGACCAAACATTGGGGTGACTTGGAGGAGGAAGAAGAAGAGGAAGAGGAAGAGGAGGAGGAAGAAGAAGAAATGGAGGAGGAGGAACTTGAAGCTGGTATTCAGTCTGTTGATAGTCTGTCAAGGTATTGCTATTTTTCCATTTTATTTTCTTGTTTAGATGTTATGAAGGTAGTATGGGTGTTCTAAAGTGCCCCAGCTTGATTTAGAGTAGTTACAATTTTTTGTTTGTTATTAGCCTTGCTATTCATGATAAGTAACTAATGAAATCATTTACAAATGATGTAAAATGATTAGATGTGTTTGGATTAACTTATTATGTTAACAAAGGTTCATAATCAAAATCTTATGAAGAGAACTTAAAAAATGTTCTTTTCCTAAACATTTAATCAAAACTAAACATGCACTAGCTGTTAACATTTAACAAAAAGAAAAGGAAAAAAGTCCAATGATGGTTAAGAATTTGTAAAATGACTTCATAGAATTTCATTTGAACATTTAGCATTTCTGTTTTGCATTTGTTATTATTATAGTAAATGATGGTTAAATATGTTTTAAGGAAGAATTGCCACTTGTAGTAAAGAGTGGTTTTCTGCTTCTCAAAAATAAGCTAACCTCAGGCATTGTTAACAGATCCTTGAGTGTAAATTTCTTGTTATTCCATTCTCTCCCTTTATTACATTTATTTGGGTGATAAGTGTTTGGATTGGTTGGAGAAAACAGTTGGTGAGGAGGGTTGAAATTGGGTGTATGTTAGTTTGCTGTCATTATTATTTCATCACTTAACTCTTTTCCTTTGTGTTTTTCACCCCAGCACTCCCACTGGAGTGGAGACACCTGATGTTATTGACCTTCGGAAGCAACAAAGAAAGGAGCCTGAGAGGCCTCTTTATCAAGTGAGTCTTTCCTATTGTTGTTTTCCATCAGCTTTGACTTCTGAATTGACTTGTTATTCAATTATCATTTTATTATTTTTTGTGAAGGTACTTGAAGAGAAAGAAGAAAAAATTGCTCCTGGAACTTTACTTGGAACCACACACACGTATGCAATACTTGCACCACCCTTTTTATGGATAGTATTGGTGTAGCACATATATATTTTTTAACCCCCATAATGGTTTGTTTGTTGACAAGTTTAAATGTTCCTTTTTCTTTCCACAGTTATGTGGTTGGCACTGGCACCCAGGACAAGTCAGGTGCTAAAAGGGTAAGAGTTTTCTCCTTTTATGTGGGGGAGGGGGATGTTTTATTTTATGATGAGTGCTATACATTTTTTTTTTTTGCATGGTAGCATGTCAATGCTCTTTGGTTTTGGCACTTTCAGGTTGATTTGCTTAGAGGTCAGAAGTCAGATAAAGTGGATGTCACTTTACAGCCAGAAGAGTTGGAAGCCATGGAAAATGTTTTGCCTGCGAAGTATGGATTCTTATCTTTTCTAATTTTTGAGTTGGTTACCGGTTACCTGTGCTAGATTTTTTAGGCAGTAATTTCTTACCTCTACTGGAACAATACAGGTATGAAGAAGCAAGGGAGGAAGAAAAGTTGCGTAGTCAGCGTGAAGATTTCAGTGACATGGTTGCAGAGGTATGTTACATTCACCCTTCAAACCATACATACATGCATATTAGCTTTCCATCAGTTTTATATTTAATGTTGTTGTTATCTGGTATAGAACGAGAAGAAGAGGAAAAGAAAGATGCAAGAAAAGGAGGGGAAGTCGAAGAAGAAAGACTTCAAGTTTTAGGGTGCCGCATGTTCGTTTCTTTTGCTGGAAAATTCGGGTACTAACCTTTTCTGCTGGGGCAATTCTGTTTGCATGAGTTGAAAATTTGTTGTAGCAGCGGTTTAACGCTTCTGTATTACTTGCCTGAAAGTAAGCCGTCAATGTTTTGGATAGGAATATACGACTATATAATATAACGCAGACCATTTGCAGAACACGTGGTTGGTGCTTTAGGTGAAAATTCAATATAAATCCTACTAGTTCTTTACAAGAGATTGTTGAGTGTTGGTATTCGTGCCTGCGCTACCTTGCAGATGAAGCCCAACGTGAGTGTTTGTTAACCAGTAATTTAATGAAGTTATTCTCACTACTGTCTTTGAACATTTGTAGTTATTCATTTTCTTGGAGTGACACTTGTGATAATATCTAATGATTTTTATTCTGTTAAATAAAATATTTCTGTACAAACAAGAGCGTGCCAATTATACAATCATTGTTGGTTATAAACTTAAAAGAAAATGCTCTAAGCTTTGAAGTAAAATCAATTTAAAGGAAAATAAATCTATATTAAGGGTGGTTAAGGATTGCCAACTTCTAAACACAAAATATCGTTTGTTTAAAAGGCAAGCATTCTTTAGATAAAATGAAATTAAGCAACCGATCTTTTATCTTTTTAAACGTTTAATAAAAGACTGTATACTTTTCTGAAACGTTGTTTAATTATTTTTACGGCAAGTTATGAATAATTTTATCTTATGAAAGCTTGCATTTTAAAGATAAGCGAACCTGTGTCTAGAAACTTGGTAACATCCTTAACTATCTTTACTCAAAATAGCGCTGTTTTCCTTCAGAAACCCTTATGCATTTCTTTCAAGTTTAAAAACAACTATGATTGCATAATTAGAATATTATTCCAAATAAAATAATACTCTATTATCTGGAATTAAGATTTGTCACTGATAATGTAGAAGGATGATGATGCTGTTTGCACCATCATAACAGCAGAAGCATTCACTATTTCGGTCTTGATAAACAATTTATTAATTCCATCAAAATTTGTTAATAGGCGTTAAGAAATCTTGGAAACGATTAGAAGCATTTCAACCCGCTTGAGGCATATCATTGTTTTGGCAGAACAACTTAATTATAAGATGGTTTCACATTCAAATATACATAAATCTACGATTACTTTAATATTATTAATTATAATTTTTGTATTGGACTACATTTTTTTAACGTATTTTTAAGTGCATATATACATAGCTTAACTTCTGATAGGATCGTTGATTACTTTTTGTTACTCATTTCCCTCCCTCAAGAGCTACGTAGGTGTATTGTCATATTCTTGTCCTACCAAGTCTCGCATAATGGTTCTTAATAATTGGTTTTGGCTTTTGAAAATGCCAAGAGATGGATATAGTTGGATGATATAGGTGTTCATTTGGCGGGTGACCACTCCTTTTTTGCTGGGAAACAGCGTTCAATCTCAAGGTCAGAAACCCATTTGTCACGAGTTTGTGTTCTAATTTTCTAGATATAGACGCCCGCGCATATATATATAAATGAAAGGAAGAGTTTTTGGATTTATAAAATAAGAAGATTCTATTCTATATTATATATATATATAAAACATTTAAAAAAAAATGAGAAACATTAATAATAATTATTAATAAAAGGAAAAAAAATAGATAATGAGGTAACAACGTTAAATTTAAACTCTTTATTTTAATTCAATCACTATTATTAATGTGTTTCACTTCTTAATAATAAACATCTCTCAATGCCCCCCTCTCTCTCTCTCTCTATATATATATTATAATTAATACTTTTTTCTACCATTTGTCGTGATATCTATTGTAATAAATTAATAATCTTAAAACCGTAACTTGCAGGTGAAAATACTGTTGAAGTTTACTTTTTTATTCAAAAAATCAGATAGTGAGGATTGAACTCTAAACCGCATGCTTTATGCTAAAATTAACATTTTATCATAAGAATCAAATACTAGGCCACTTATCTCGCAGGTAAATTAAGTTTTGATTAGATTAATGAGAATCATAATGGCCAGAATCTAGGTTACTTGATAACACAACAGTCTTGATCAACTGAGCTGTTAGATGAGGACACATAAATATTTTAAATATGGTGATAAGACGTATCAAATAAAAGATTCGGATAGAGCAATCATCATTCAAAAGCCCCATTTTGATGCTTTGAGTGGCACGAAAAACAATTATTCTCTCCTCAGGAAGCTTGCATCTGAGGGTGAAGCAAAATTAGGAGGGAGGTCCTTGCCAGTTTCAGCTGTTTTGGACAGAAACTAGGGGAATTAAAATTGCAAAAATGATGTCTGCTGTTTCTTTTAAGATTTATCTGTCACGGCCTATACTTCGTTTTAATTCGTATTCATGTTTTAATAAATTTTGATAAAGTTGAATTATAGGAATTTCAGAAAGTAAAACGAACTAATGAAGTCAAGCAAGAGTTGGCAAAGTCGTTGGAGAACTATTTAGAAAAATGCTAGTTTCACATCTACTTTATGTTTACATATTATCGGATGGATAACGTGTAAAAATAGTTTGATGTCATCGTCAACAAAAAATAATAATAATAATATAATTTTCAAAATATAATTTTATTTTATTTTTCTCTTAATATTTAAAAGTTGTTACCACATGGTTAAAAATATCCTTTTCAATGTTTTAAAATTTGTTTATATGTATTCATCACAATTCATACTTCTCTATTACAATTTATTATAGCAATGATGATTGAAATTCAAGAAATAACATAAAAATTGAGTCATACACAAATTTTAAATTTAAGATATTTCAACAACTTTTTAACTTTGTTTAAACTCTTCTAAATTATCAATAATAAAAAATAATTTTCTCTACGATAAAAATATTTCATCTTGATATTATTTCTTTTTTTTTTATGTTTGTATATTTAACAACAGTTGACAGACTTGCATTATTTATATTAGAATTAGAGATTATTTCCTTCAATTATTTAGACTGTATATTGTTCTTGATGTCATTAGCTGTTAGGCATGTATCATACGCATTAGAATAAAAAATACTCATCTTCAATCTTTCAGATTGCATACCATATTTAATGTCATTGACTGAAAAATCTACGTTATTTATATTAAAATTTATCTATTTAGTTCATAGATTTCATATTATTTTTTAATTTAATCATTCTTTTTTAACCACATATATTCATGATGACATACGAGCACTGTAACTATTGTCATCAATTACCAATAGTTCTCATCAATTGACTACTATCGATAATATTTTTTTCAACTTTGTACTAACGTTAGCTTTTATTAACAAGACATGCCACTCAACCTCTACATTGTTAAAAATATTGTCAATACAATGATCTCTTCATATAGATACACCATTAATTTTCAATATATGTATAGAGTTTATTACATAGACAAACTTTCAACTCTGATACCTCTTGTTATAATAAAAATGAAAAATAAGTGATAAAAAAAAAAATACAAAATTAACATGATTCAGTTACTTTAACCTACGTCTATGAACATATTAAAAAAAATTTATTACCTTAATTTTTAAATATAAGGTATAATATGCACTAGAAAAAAATGTCTTTTTAATTTTTTAAAATTTGCGTATATAATAATTCATTATTTTCTAGTTACAATCCATTAAAATGATAGGGACTAAAAATCAAAAGAAAAATAAATTAGATCATACAAAATTTAGCATCTCAATAAATGTTTTATATTTACATTTAATGATTTTTATTTTTTGGTGTTTAATTTGTATGGGTCTTAAGATAAACTCATTAAACCAATTGGTATATATATAATATATATATATATATATATATATATATATATATATATATATATATATATATATACTTACATTGATGTAAAAAGATTCTTTTCATATATATATATATATATATATATATAAGGGTAAAAATAGTACATTAATTAATATAAATTAATTAAATTCTTTAAAATATAAGAGTGGTTTTTGTTAAAAATCTAAGGCATTTTTATGAGCTACATCTCAATGTACTCTAATTGACATGAGTCCTGCAGGATAAAATGAATTTAACATGAAATAAGAAATCAAGACTAAAAGTAAAGTGTTGATAAATCATGTACAATATATTTTTTTTATAACAACTAAAAATGAAAAAAAGGTTAAGGATTTCTTTCTTTCTTTTAACAATTATATTATACACAATAATTTTTGTATTTTTTTTTGTGTTTGTTAAGTGAGATATGCACTTATAAAATTAATTCGCACCTCAAAAATTATTTAGTAAAACTAATGTTTAAAAAATTAAATCAATTATTAAATCGGTGAAGAATTATTTCACAATTCATTCATTTAACAATATGATTAAATAATTAGTGATAATTAAATGCATAAATTAAATATCATATTATAAAAATATATTAATATAAAGTTATAAAAATTAAGTTAAGTAAAATTTAAATTAAAAAAATTATATTATATATTCTTTAACATAAAAATTAATAATAAAAGCTTAAATAACAACATTTTATCAGTGAGCTTCATACATGATTTTCGTAACGTATTGGACCTTTTTTCTATTAGTAAATTAAAAGTTTGAAAGAAAAAAAAAATTGTGGCGATTATTCAATACTACTAATTTTGGACAGATTCAATTAAGTAAATAAAATACTTGATCAGTTTACCTATTTTCTAATTACATCTACTGGTCCAATTTTTAAAGATGGAATAAAACAGAAATTGTAAGTAGAGTTACAAACTTACAATGGGTCTCTTTTCCCAACTTTTGACAATTAATTTGGTTCTTACACTTACACATACGAAGATACTTGATTTAAACAGATTCTCGTGTGCAATCGTTAACGTAGCTTTCAGAGTTTTGCGCATAGTATTTATTTCCTTAATCAATCACTGTTATATCACTTTCATGTTACAATGAAAACCCCAAAGAAGAACCCTATTTGCTTGTCTGCAGACTATAAAGAATAATGAATAGCTTTGTGTCTGCTTCCTACTTACTTTCATTGAAATCGATCGTAGAAAAAGGATAAAAAGTCTCTTACCATCTATCATATATCATAGTGTATACTAAATTCACATCTAATTATTGGTCTTATAAACTCCGCTTTACAAACAGAAAAACATATATGCCCTATTCGCTACCTAAGAATTAAGCTACATTTTCTCCAAATAATAGAACAGTATATGGTAACAGAAAATGCCCTATTTCTATAATTTTTTTCAAAAATTCCATATTTTATATAATAAAAAAAGCGCCCAAATTCAGTCACTTAACCAATAAGATAAACAAAAACCAAAAAAAGAAAGATGGGAGTCCATGTTCCTGAGAGCATCAATGGCCCAAATGGTTTAATCAGGTGGCCCAGCTGCCCCGTGACAGTGCAACACGTGTCCTTTTAACAAAAGTAATGGCAATTAACTAACCAACAATTGATTTGGCTGGTTAATGTTCGATTACGAAACTAAAATCACGTGGTTGCTGGCTCCACCTGTTTCAGCAAAGCATGAACACGAGAATATATTATATTGATCATTAATCAGTTTATTTATTTTAGGTGGCGTCTTAGTTGGACATAATTGACTCAACCCAGAAATTTAAGTGAGTTCAACTTAGATTTAATTCGCTGTGTCGTTTTCATATGTGTCCGACAAACATTCTTTGTTTTGTCCTCTTCACCAAACCGACCGACCAAGATTGATTTCCATTCACACTACTCTTTTAATCTTTGAATATATTGTAAATGCAATCACCATTTTCAATTGTGATATCTTACCCTAATCGTGCCTTAATTATATATCTGCATGTGACCTTTGGGTTTCTTATTTCCAATAATAATTTAATCCCGTGACTACCAAGTTGGAGAAATTATTACCCTGTGATTATTCTTAGCCATTCATTCATTCATTCATGTGCCTAATTTATTTCATCCATTTGCCTTGACTTTCTTAGGTAGGTGCTCACAAAATGCAGTTAGAAAACAAAATGGCTAAATAAACAAGTGCAAATTAGTTGTTTTAATTAATTAATTTAATAGTTCATACAGTGTAAATTGTATGAATCAAAGATGAAAAAAAAGCATTTCGTTACATTTGTCTGCACTGAGGAGATTTCTGAAGAGTTATACATCAGGGTAAAGAAAGAAAAGGCATCCCGCTTATTTATGTTTTATCCAAAATTTTTCTTTGCTTTTTTGTTTGTTTGGATGTTTCTTCTTTTGTCATTGTGCTAATCGCATTATTGATATTCAAAATTCCAAGTATGACATTATTGAACACGTTCCTGTCATTGTATTAATCAAATGCTTCTGTGCGACTCTTCGGTTATTCTTTGCCCAAAAGTGTCGAGGCTGGTATCGATCCATTGTTTAAGAATTCGTGTCAAGACATTCAAATATGACACCACCTAGTAGTCATTTAAAATGTCTGTATCAGCTGTTTATATATAGTATTTTACAACACACACACACACACACACACTAAAATTATTTGTTTTTAATGTTCTAAAATTGGCGTAATTTATTTTGGCAATAATCTCTTGAAAACTACAAAGCATTAGCAGGCCCTCTAAAATACTTATAAATAAGGTTTTTAATTTTTTTGTTAGTTTATTTAGGTTACACAAATATTTAAGATAGTAAAGAACATAATTTCAGTAATTGCTTTAACTGAGGTGAATAATAATTTAGATAAAGATTATAGGTATAAATTTTGTTAACAACTAGTTAATATATAATTGCTAACATGAGATGATTTCCAAGAGAATTCCCTTGTTTTAAGGTTTCAAAGGTTCAACTTATTTAACTCATGTTTTTTTGACCTGATATTTGTTTGACTCGGGGTGGTTGTGATGTCTCTGACGATCAAATCCTGTAGTACACTTGCACCCGTTCATCAAAATAATTCCTAGAATTTGAGTTATCCTATCTAACATCCAAACAAGTGAATACTATATCACCTAAAATGCTGCACCAAACTCTCCTCTTGGCAAAACAAAATTAAGCACAAGACCAATTTTATGCTTTCATATAAAGAACAAATTATGCGAGAGCAACAAGCCAAAACTTCAATATTAAATATTGTGCCTAGCTAACATGTCATGGATGCTTCGATTAACACCAATAGCCCATAGGCATGAGACCTACACGTGCATGTAACATACTGATGTACCCAACTTGCTACATGTAATCACATGACATAGGTCCATAGAACACCACTACATCCACTCTTTTCCCTTGTGTCCCACAAGAAACCATGTGTTGCCAACTGTTTTTAACCTTCCTAAGAATCTTAGGCCCCACTATTACCACCCTTCCCTTACCCCTAATGCCAATCAATTAAGAAAAACAAGACCGTAGTGTACTTGCCTTCTTTTTTGCTAGCTTAGTGTTTGCATTGATGGCCAAGTTTGCTACTTAAATTATTAGAGCGTAGCATCATGCACATCTACGTTCCTTTTACAGCCAAAATACAAAGCACTTTCAATGGCCTAAAACCATCCACGTGTCAACCACCCACCTTCACCTTAGGGGTTAAGCATCTCTCTATTTCCTCTTCTATAATACTTGTGTGGAGAGAACTAAAATTGAAGTTGTTACCATAGTTTGCATACATTTTATGGGATTGCCTCCACTACTACCACCCCCCCACAAGTAGCAATCAAACCCCTTTCCCTCTCTCTTTCACTGCACACAAATTCTAGTAATTTTTTCTGATCATCTTGTTATAATTATTGATCCTTTACAGATAGATAAGATCATAAATAGGTATTAGATATAGACAGATTAGAGAAAAGACATGCTCACTCCTCCACAGCTTCCTAGGCCTTTCCTTCTATCAAACCACACTCATTCATCAATTTCCTTAGACCTTCACACGGTTGGTGCTATAAGCAGAAATCTGATCCTCTTGTTATCCTTCAGATTCATTTCTCTACTGACACCTCGATCAAAGGGATAAAATTTGCCACCTTTCTCATCTAATTGCAGAGAGAAAAAAAGAACTTGGCTTTGATCCTATTGTTTCTACTTACTACTACTGCTACTACTACTACTTCTGCTTTCGGTGAGGTGAATTTAAGCCATGGGTTTGAGTTCTAAGCAGGTTTCAAGTACAGGACTTGATTGGAACCAGACCTTGTTGCAGGCTCAAAACTTGGAGCTCCCAAAGCCTCCTCCTATGAGGAAACAACAACAACAACAACAACAAACTCAGCAATCAGAACCTTTGAAGTGCCCAAGATGTGATTCTACTAACACCAAATTTTGTTATTACAACAACTACAATAAGTCTCAGCCTCGGCATTTCTGCAGAGCTTGTAAGAGGCACTGGACTAAAGGTGGAACTCTGCGCAATGTTCCTGTAGGTGGTGGCAGGAAGAATAAGCGAGTCAGGAAATCAACCACTCCAACAACCACTGTCACCACTTCTATTAGTACCACCACCTCAAATGGCAACATGGATGCTGAATTGAGTACCCACATCACAATTCCTCCTCTTTCAGTGGGTGATCAGAAAACCATACCCTCCTCACTCTATCAATCCTTGCTGCCACAACAGAATCTGTTGAGTACCAAAGACACAGAAGGTAAAGACTTTGGTATTGGTAATGGCATCTTTCTGAGTTCAACTGTGCCTTTTCCTCAAAACCAAAGCCTTCTCTTTCCCTTCTCAACCTCAAACTCTTTTGATACAAACCCTTGTGCAATATCAGCCTCTTTGAGATCCTCAAGTGTCTATAACTATGGTGAAGAGTTTAAAACAATGGAGGAACCAATCATCAACAATATAATGCCTAGCACAAGTGGCACTAACACACATCCATGGGAGATACCTGCAACAAATACTGCCTTGGAAATGCCAAACTATTGGAATTGGGAGGATATTGATTCGTTGGTCTCAACTGATCTTAATGTTCCTTGGGATGATTCTGATATCAAACCCTGAGAAAAGAGGAAAAAAAAAAAAGAAAAAAAGAAAAATAGAAGCACATGGTAGTGTCCATAGATTAGTTATTTAATTGGGGTGTTTTGTGTTTCATACAGAGTAGTACGTGAGAATGTTTTCAGATGGAACATATTATGATATCCACTGGTTTTTCTGCACATGTAATTCTTACAAAGAGCAGTGTTTGGAGCTGTCTTATTTTAGTTTCAGCTTCAGATTCAAGCAAAAGGGTCCAATTAACTGTAACCCACTGTGTTTGCCTGTTCATCTCTCTATCGTTTCCTCTAATAAAATGGTATATTAATGTATGCAACTTCAAGTAGCTTAACATTATTCACAAGTATAGGGAATTTTGTTTATTTTAAATGTTTTCTGAATGCTTTGTGATAGGGATGGATGACTATTGATATGGGGTCTGCTCCAGCACAACTGAACTGACAGAATGTGATGGAAGATTCGTGTGGATATGTATATATGAATATGTTGGAATGACATAACATGGATTTGATTGCACACGATTCATCACCACCACTTGTTGAGAATCATTTTTTGGTCCTGGGCCAGAAGAATTTCGGTTGCAGAGTAGTTTATTGATTTTATGATATTCTGTTACTATTATATACCTCAGGGATTGTTTATCTGTGAGCTTATAGTTCACATGGTGTTTTCACCTTTCTTCCTGTTTAATAGAACAGTGTATGGTATTTTGGCCCACCGTATTTTCAAGGTTTGTTTTTGCTTGTCGTTTCTTCTATGATTGCATAGCTATGAACCAAGGTATACCCCTTCAAAATATGAATCATGTGTAACCTAACAACATTATTTGATCCGTTTGAGCATTAATAAATGCTCATTAGCTTGAAAATATTGACTCTCACTCCGTAAATTAGGGGCAGTAAGAGATGAATCAAATAGTGCAGAAGGGTAGAGTTTTTTTTTACTACACATGTGTACCATTCTATATAAATACTATCACAACTTTTATTTTATTTGTTTAGAACTATCTCGATTTTGAATATATGGTATCTTTTTCCTACCTTAATTTATGTAACAGTGATGTTAATAAAATAATCACAAACAATGATTAAAAAATCACAAGTAGCCACTTGCCACGACTGCAAATTTGACCATATTCAGGCTAGCCCGGGTGTTTCTCTCTTCTTCCATAGCAGTCTCGTTGTTATTCGTTAACTTGGTTCTTGATTTGGTTACTAGTTTCAGTCTTAATCATGAAGTAGCAATAGCTGATGCTCATTCTTATTTACCAGTTAAAGCCTTGCACTATGGTCTAATTTCCTACATTGGCCTAAACTGGTCACTTGATATTTATCTTACCTCAATTTCAAAAGGAAATATTAAATGATACTTTGAAAAGGGTTACTTTGGTGTATCTCACTTCAAAGATTTACTCAAGAATAATAAATGATTTAAATGTGGATGGAAAACAACATTGAGTTTCTGATTTTATTTAATTAATTAATTTATTTTTAAACATTAACATTTTATTAAAGACATTTAGAGTATAAAAGGTACTATAACCCATTATAACTCTAAAGAAAATTAACAATACATATCAAAGGATTATTAGTTTAATTTACAATTGATTTTTGCAAAGACCTTCCTGTAAGCGACTATTAAAATACATTTTTCAAGCATTTAGTCTAAGCTTTAGCCTTTACAGAATTATTTTTTATTCATGAATGACTTTTGTTCTCATTCGGAAAACTAGAAATCCCACTCCTGTTATGGATAAGTGAAAATTAATTTGTAAACTCTAAAAAATGATAAAATATATCAAAGAATAAAAAAAACATTTTAATACTTAAATAAATTTTATTTTTCATTCATTAGTTTAGTTTCCTTCCACAAAAATATAAGTACTATCCGATTCCACCTGCATTAATTTTATGTTTAATACAGTGTTTAGATAACAGTAATCACATGTGTGTGTATATATCTTTCTCTGATACAGGGTCTAGTTAAAATAAGTAAATACACAGAGAAATAAAACCGTCTATTATTAATTATTTTGAGTCTTTGTATGATAGTTTAATTTTAATATTGCCAAGTTATAAATTCAAAATGAATCAGTAAGTTTTTTTTAATTGTATTTTTAGCCATATTTATTACTGCTTGTAAAAACAAAATTTGTTTTGTTCTATTTCTACTTCTATGTTTAGGTGGGGTGGCATAATTCTTACAAGCAACCTGCGACCTATTGATTTCATTTTCAAGGTGCAGCAAAACGTTTGAAACTTAAGAAGTTGACTTATGGCCAATTCACTTTTGTTTTTCGCTAAATAAAGAAATGACAATAACTTGTTACTTAATCCTTCAATTGTCTTGAAACTAGAGTGGACAAAATAGTTTGTTCTTACCTTCAAATACTTTATTCATTTGTATATTATTTGTTGTATTTCTTACTATCCTTTTCTTTTTATCATGACGTTAATGTATGCATTGTTCAGACTTTCGAATTTAAAACTGAGATATCAACAAATTATTACCATTTTTCAGTTTTTTAAAATTTAAGAAAATTAAAAGAAAAGGAGAAATACACATTTATAAGACATTGGGAAACATAGTTACTAAAAAAAAGGTTAAATTAATAAATTTATTTCTAAATTTGGTAAAAAAATGATTGTAAAATCGACTGATTGACTTGCTTTAGGGTATAAATAGATAACGTTCTTATAGTACGTAATAACATTTTGAATTTAAAAGGATTTGTAAATTCTTATAAAGCCCAGTAACTTAACCCCTGAGTTGTTTGAAGGTTTTTCTTTTTTGGATTTCAACTTTTCCCAATTAAAAAAAGAGTGGCAGTTCCTTTAATTTTTAGCTCCAGATAATGCCAATTCATGAAAGTTAAGAATAAAGAATCAAATTTAACTAGCTTGTATTTCTCATGTATAACGTGGGTATTTATGAAAAATAAAAAATAACAAATTCATATTTAAAAGTATATATTAGGAAAAAGTAAATTAGAATTAGAGTTTTAATTTGAGTATGATATGTATATATCAGGAGATAATTTATTTGAATTAAAGATTCACTTTTGATAGTAAATATTAGAGGATAAGTAAAGTTTTTGGTTTTGGTAAAAAAAAATGCTTCTGATTACTTAAAGAATTTTTAAATTTAAATAATATTTTTAATAATTTTTCACTAAATTTAAGCATTAAGATATTTTAAAATTTAATCCATACTTTTTAACAAATTTCACTAATCTATTTCTTTTTAAACTGTTTTGAAAACTTTCTTAAAAAAATTGTAAAACTCATTTTTCTTTTAAAATAAACTCACCCAATGATATTTTCGGTAAATCTTTTAAAATAATCTTGACAATTTATATGAATAATTAATTAAAATACAAGGTTTTGTGATAAATATCTAATTAAATAATAGATAAATCAAGATTTATCTTGAATTGAAATCTTTATATATCTGGTATGGTATGAGATTATATATATATATTCTTCTAATTCACTGAGGTTGTGTTTGAATAGAGGGTTTTAAAATTATAAATAAATATAAAATCAATGATGAAAGATGTTTAAAATGAAAGTTAAATATGAAAAAAGTTCTAAACATTAAATACAAAAATTAAGTATAATAGAGATATTTTTAAACTGTTTCTAAGAATAAATTATTTTAAAAAAATTTAATTAACATAAAAATTATCTAATTAAAATTTTGCAATATTTAAAAAAAAAATTCTTATTATCCAAATACATAAAATTTAGTATTTTTAAAATACTCTACACAACTTAGTAATATAATATTTAAAATAATTTTTATCGATCAAATGATTGAATAATAGTAATATATGACCTTAATTATTTATCAACTTTTAAAAAATGAATAAATATAAAAATATAATTAAAAAATCTTTATTTTTATATATTTTAAAAATGTTGTTATGTTAATTTTAATATATATGAATAAAATATTATATAGTTTTAAATTAATTTAAAATTTTAAAAAATGATATATGTAATTGAAATTTTTAATCTAATGATTAATTTTAAAAATAAATTATTTAATATAAAATTATTAAACTGTAAAAGAATAAGTAAATTATCCAAACTTGATCTTTGAGGGTTGCACAAGTTTTCTTAAACCTTACCTTGGTTTCTTTGGTATTGAGATGGAGAGAGATTGGGCAAATTTAGGAGCACTTGCTCAGTGTTTGATTATTGACAAATTGGAAGAAGGAATAGATCATGTGTGGTTTGGTGTCGTGTACAATAATTGGTGGTCGTCTGCAAAGCTTAACCACCAATTCAATAGCAATGTATTGGCCATGCTAATGATGGAAAATGCAGAAAGAAAAGGAAAGAAAAGTAAGACATATTTGTTTGGCATTTCATCTGCAAGAGTGTTCCCTTTCTGTTACCCGTGCATTATGTTCAGAGATGTTGTGGCTCCACTCATGGCTTTCTTGCATTCATAAAATGATGGTAGTAATGTCATTACATTAATTAATTAATTAATTAATCCTTTTAATAATAATGCAACTCCTATTTCTCAACCACCCCTCGATTATTCCTTGTTAGTACACAAGGTTACTTTATCTTGTGACCCTACAACAAGCCCCAATGATTATGTGGTTGCAACAACTGGCCTAGATTCTCTAGCTTTCATAAGGGCATCCCAAAAGTGTTGGACTTATATAAACTATAATTACCACTTTAATTACATCACTGATTTTACATTTTACAAATGTTTAATATATGTCGTTAATTCATTGAATACTATTATGTCTTTCAATCCTTGTTTTGGTCGTGAGAAGATACTTCCAAATATTGTCTTCCAAGGAAGCTATGAAGCATTTTCCCATTGGCTTTATCTACGGAAATCATTAGAGGGGAACTTGTCGGTGGTGAAATTTTTGCACCCGTTGGAAATGGATGTGCAAAGTGGGAAGCTTGTGAGAGTGTTGGAACTTGATAGTTTGGGAGACAATGTTCTGTTCATAGGTAAAAGAACGGTTCAATTTCTGTGTCGGCTTCGTATCTCTCTAATTCTCTAAAAAAGAATTCAATTCACTGCACAGCATTTGATTAGGCTATGTATACTGTGAAGGATGGGACCTTGGCCATAGTTACATTGGCCCACCTCCATCTTGGGTTATTCCAACGTTCTAATGGGATTGATGAGTTCAACTTTTTAAGTATTTTATTTTTGTTCAATTTTAATAATCATTAGTTCTTTGTTTTGTTTATTTTTCATGTTGATATTTTTAAAAAGTGGTCGATTGTATCTTTTTGCTTGCCAAATGAACAACTAATCTTTTTAGTCATCGTTATTATATACCGTGATATCTTCAGCTCATCTACTTTTGCTTGCATGGCAGCCATAAAAGATTATTTGATGAATGACTTAAGTGGAACAGATAATGTAAAGATATTCGTTGGTATCATTAAGGTTTTTTTTTTTTTTTTTTACAAAAATATCATAATAGTATAGTTTTCAAATAAATAATTTACCTGAGCAGGCAAAATGAACATTAAA